ACCAGCCGTCCACCCAGAGTCCTGCTGAGTGTGTCGCCTGCTCCATTCGCAGCCGCAGGAAGACAACAATCACCTGCGGCTCCTGTAGGCAACTATGGCATACTTCCTGCGCTAAGGTCCCTGCAAGGAAATCCCATCACCTCCCTGTTTGGCATTGTCCTGCATGCCTCGGCCGCGAGTCAGCCCAGCTCTCTGACGCTTTCAACGGAAGAGAGGTTCCAGACACTGGCGTCGTCGAAGGACTGGCAACTCTAAGGAGAAGCACTAAACTAATCTCGCGAATACCTAAAGGCGTAAGGCCCCTGGTGGCCGATGCCCTATGCAGCGCCTTAGAGGATGCCCTTAAGCTACGCACAATCTGCGCGTGGTGGACCTTCCTGTCTTTCGCGTTCTTCGCGCTACGCACACCAGGAAAAGGCGATAATAATGTCAGTGCCGCAGCGAGCATCAGGCAGCAGCTCTCCAGCCCCAACCAAACCATGACACCAAACCTGCTTCCCGAACCACCAACAAATGACTCAGCACGAGAACATCAAAAGCCTGCCACTGACGCCCTGGCCCGTCGGATCCTCGGGAAATGTGCAGATGGCGACATCCGGGCGGCCCTAAGGCTACTGACCTCAGACGATACAGTTGCCGAGCCTGACGCCGAAGTAATCGCCGAGCTAATGCTGAAACACCCAGCAGCTCCCAAGGACGAGCTTCTGCCGCCACCGCCCGCCCCATCAGACCCAGGGCCGCTCACGGTGACGCCGGAGGAGGTGGAGGCCGCTATCAACTCGATGCCTCCGGGATCATCAGCAGGCCTAGACGGCATCAGGCCGCTACATCTACGCCAGCTTATATCCAGGGAGGCGGCTGAGAGCGGCCGCCGTCTTTTGCACTCTTTGACGGTACTCACCAACCTGGTGCTGGCCGGTGAGGTGCCGGATTGTGCCAGGGACGCCCTTTTCAGCGCCTCACTATGCGCACTCAGGAAGAAGAGCGGCGGATTGCGGCCCATTGCAGTCGGGAGCGTCTACCGACGCCTGCCATCCCGCATCGGAGCACGCTTCGTGGCAGACAGCCTTGGTGCCGAACTCCGTCCTGTCCAGCTCGGGGTAGGAACGTCCCTGGGCTGCGAGGCGGCGGTCCATGCAACGCGCAGTTTCATTGAAGCCAGCCGACAGTCAGCTGCTCCACACGTGCTGGTCAAACTTGATGCGTCAAATGCTTTTAACACGGTGCGGCGCGACGTCTTCTTGACCCGCATTAGGGAGCGATGTCCGGAGGTGTACTACCTAGCCTACCAGGCCTACAGCTCACCCAGCCCACTCATCATCGGAGGGCAGACCATCGCTTCGGCCTGCGGTGTCCAGCAAGGCGACCCGCTCGGACCGGCCGCGTTTGCTATCGCCATTGACTCCTGTGCCAGAGCAGTGTCAGCACCTCTGAACATCTGGTACTTGGACGATGCAACGCTGGCCAGTCCAGCCAGCGCGGTCGCTGCTGACATCGCAACACTTCCAACAGCGCTGGCAGCCGCTGGTCTCTCACTGAACGCGGCCAAGTGTGAGGTGGCCTTCATTGGCGCCGAAGATTCGGACCACCGCCACGCTGCCATCAGCGCCATCTGCTCTGCGCTGCCTGACGTCAAAGAGACTGAGCTCACAAACCTATCTCTGCTTGGCTCTCCCCTGACCGACGGCAGCATAGGAGCAGCAGGGGAGGCAGCCTCTGCTATGGTGCAACGCCTCTGCACCCGGCTGCGCGAGCTAGACAGCCACACTGCGGTGTTTTTCTTGGCGCACCACGTATCGGCACCGCGTCTGACGTACCTGCTGCGCTCCGCACCGGCGTTCAAAGCCCCACACGTACTCCAGGCTACTGACGAAATGGTGCGCAGCACACTAGAAGCGGTCTGCAACGTGGCCATAAACCCTGCGGCATGGGAGCAGGCGTCGCTTCCAGTGAAGTTCGGCGGCCTGGGCATCCGGTCAGTCGAGGCACTGGCGCTACCAGCGTACATTGCGTCGGTAAACGCAGCACGCCCCCTCATCCGTTCCATCTGTCCGAGTGTGACTGATGAACTCTCAGACACCTTGGAGACCGCAGTCAGCGCGTTCCTTCATCGCACAGGGGTGGACCGACAGCAGCTGCCGGACGGTGAGCTGGTCAGTAGTCAGCGCGCGTGGGACACCGTCGCCTGTACGGTGGTCCAAAGTCGCCTACTGGTACCAGCCAACCAGATCGACCGAGCTCGGCTCATCGCCGCCGGCCAGCCGCACACAGCGGCCTGGATCCAGGCGGTGCCGGTGCCGAGTCTCGGGCTTCACCTCGACGACGAAACCGTCCGCGTCGCTGTGGCCCTGAGACTCGGCGCCCCGGTTTGCGAGCCGCATCGGTGCCGTCTGTGTGCGCGCCCCGTCACCCCACTGGGACATCATGGCCTCTCCTGCCAGAAAAGTGCGGGTCGCCACTCGCGTCATGCCCACTTGAACGACGTGGTGCGTCGCGCTCTCTCCGGCGCTGGCTTTCCCGCCATTCTGGAGCCAGTCGGCCTCGACCGGGGCGACGGCAGACGACCGGATGGCATCACCGTCTTCCCCTTCCGCGAGGGCAAGTGTCTGACGTGGGACACGACCTGCGTCGACACTTTCGCCGACCACATAGCGGTGGAGTCCGCACTGAAACCGGGTGCAGCTGCAAGGCAGGCCGAAGAGCGAAAGCGGCAGCGTTATGCGGACCTAGCCAGGAGGTATAGCTTTGTTCCGGTGGCACTGGAGACAACCGGTGTCTATGGTCCGGCCGCCGCCGCTTTCGTCCAGGACCTGGGGAGACGCCTGGCAACCTGCACGGGTGAGCGTCGCGAGACGGAGTGGCTGCGACAGCGGCTGTCCGTGGCCATCGCTCGTGGCAACGCGGCCTCCGTCCTCGCCACCGCTCCCCAATCTGGCATAGAACAAGCAGGCCAAACCCGCAGGGCTGCCTCCACCGCTGGGAGCAACCCAGGGACGACGCGCCGGTGGCCGCGGAGCCACGCGGTAACGGCGGCTACGCCATCGGCTAGCTGTGCGCCTGAGGTCGAAACCAGCGGCAAGAGGAGCACAAGAGCCACGCCGCCCAAGGCAGATTCTCCGACTGAGATCAACCTGGGCAACTCGTGCTACCGGCGCGGCCTGGTCAACCTTGGGAACACGTGCTTCATGAACACCGTGCTACAGGCGCTGTTCCATTCAGAATAGCTGCGCGGCGAGGTGCTGGCGGCGCGGCCGTCCCCCTCCCGCCCGCACCTGGCGGCACTACAGCGAGTGTTCGCCTTCCTGGCGTTCTCGGAGCGGCCCGTCTACAGCCCGGGCGAGTTCCAGCGGACCGCTCTGCCGCCCTGTTTTGAGCGGGGCCGGCAGCACGACTGCTCAGAGTTCCTCCGAAACTTTCTGGACGCCTTGCATGAGGAGGAGCGGTCTCCGGCAGCTTCCCCTGCCGCACCGGTCGCGGTCCCGCCGCCAGTCCCTCCAGCTGCTGCCGCCGCACGCGCCAGAGACGACTCCAGCGTGCCGGGAGCAGCGGCGATGGAGCGGCCGCGGTCCCGGCGCCGGCACCGTTCCTGCGACACTGCGCGGGCCGGCGGGAGATCGCCGCCGGTGCAGCTCTCTGACCTGGCCAGCGACGATGTGGTGATGGCAGAGCCGGCCGGAGACAGGGCGGAGCGGACTGCCGCGGAGGGGGAGCCCACAGAGTCACCGGACACTGGCGGGACGCAGCAGACTGATCCGGACGGCCAGGCGCAGGGCGAGGTGGTGTGTGAGCACGGTACTGGCGATGCCGGAGCTGAGGAGCCGCCCGCCGGCCTGGTCCGTCGGCTACTGACCGGACGGGCTGAGACTACGTTCACCTGTCTCACGTGCGGCGGCGCTTCGCGCCACGAGAACAGCGTGACGGACCTGCACCTGGCTCTGCCGGAGTCGGTGACACGGTCACTGACGGCAGCTGCCGCGGGCGCCGGGGGAGCCGAAACTGCGCCGGCGTTCGGCCCCGCGCCGCGGCCGGTCGGTTGGCGGGGCACGCCACCGACGGACAACCAGACAGAGATCGAGCTAACCGTATCGCAGCTGCTGCTCGACTACCTGACGCCGGAACGACTGTGCGGTGATAACCAGTATTACTGTACCAAGTGCACCGGCCTGCGGGACGCCGAGCGCCAGCTGCGACTGCTCTCTCCGCCAGCCAACCTGGTCGTCTCCTTGATGAGGTTCGCGGTTGACCGGCGCACCGGTGCACGCCGCAAGGTTCTCACCCCTGTGGAGCTCACCGAGTGGCTGACAGTGCCGCTAGCCACCGGCCCGCCCGCCCAGTACCGGCTGTATGCAGTGATAGTCCACGCGGTCCATTCGCTGGACGCTGGCCACTATTTCTCATTCTGTCGCGCCTCCGGTGGCGGTGGTATTGATGGGATGGACGATACCGGCTGGTGGCGGCTGGACGATACGTCAGCGGTGCCGGTGCCGGCGGCCACCGCGCTGGGCCGGCCGCGCCGCTCCACCGAGGCAGCCTACACGCTGCTGTACCGGCTGACCGATGCAGCGGTGGCGGGGGCGGCGGGCGGCTTGTCGGCGCTGGCCGCCCTGCCTGGCCCGCTGCGAGCTGCCGTGGAACGAGACAACGCCGTTTTCCGACGGGAGCGGCAGAGCCGGACGGCCGGCGCACTGCCGATGGTCCACGACGGACGGCCGCCGCCGGGTGCCGGCTGCGGCGGCGACAGCGGGCCCGGCGTCCCTCGGATGCGTCAGCCGACGACGAGGCGAAGCGGTCCAAGCAGGAGAACGGCCACAACGGCGTCAACGGCCAGGCGGCGCCCCTGATATGCGTCCGCCCCGACCTAGACCCGCTGCCCCGCCCTTCTGATCTGGTTCACCCGTGCATGATGTCTCGCCGCATCATTTTATTGTGCTGTTAAATTTACCTGTTTTGGTGTAAATAAACGCAGTCAGGGCTTTCAAAAAAAAAATATCCTGGCTCACCTGAGTGTCCGCTAGCGGCGCCTGCCCCCCGACCGGTGCGTCGTCCCGCTCGGCCTGCCAGGGCGCGCGGCTGGCCAGGGCCGCGGCCGCCGCCGGCCGGTGCTCGGTGCGCCGCGCGCCCTCCGCCTCTGCCTCCTCCGCCTCCTCCTCGGAGCTGCTCTCTCCGTCTGCCGGCAACCGCACCAGGCCGCGGATCTGCAGACGCTCCGCCGCCTGACGCAGGCAACGCAGCGGACGCAGACCGTCAGAGATGGGAGAGGTGGAATACGACAGACGAGGTGCAGTCGCGAATAACTTTTTTAATAAATTTAGCTCGAATGTTTGAATGAACGGATTCACAGCGCCGGAGCCCACGCTAAGCAGAGCTTGTTGCGCAGACCCCGACCCCTACCGTCCGATCGCGCAATTCCGGGTATCGGGAGAATTAAGATGCCATAGTTTAACATGCCCTTCAAAGCCGGACACGGCCTGTCCCACTCAACTGACTTCAACTGGCTGCGGCTGCTCCCACCAACCGCAGACCATACCCGTCAGGAGTCTCGAATATCGAGCGCCGGAGCGTCTCGAACCCGGGCTCTCACTACCGGGAGTCCAATGCTCTACCAACTGAGCTACGGGACAGGCAAACTTGATCGCTTTAACAGAAATGTATAGAATTGATTATTAATGGAACCATGATTTACGATCCCAGATGTCGAGACTTTCAGGTCTATGCCTCTGCAAGATTACTTTGCTAATACATAAATATGCAGATACGACTAGCCCAAAGACCTCACGCTCTCCATAACACATCACTGTGGAGCTTATGGTGCGCCCCTACCTTGAGCAGCGACTCGAGCCGGCCCTGGTCGATGGTGGCCTCGCCGCAGTACATAAACTCGATCAGCGTGCGCAGCTCTGCCTCCGTGACGTCACTCAGCATCACAATCGGCGTCTCCTTGGCCGGTATTTTCTGTGGGTGCAAAACGGAGCAGTCAAAGAAGGCAGAGCAGGGTGTATGAACATACAAAATGGTAGAAGTCATACGAGTGGATGGGTGTTAAATGGCTTTGAAGCCTAGATGACCTTCTTTGAACTTTCAAAAGAAGGGTGGATGAGCTCTGACCTCAGAAAAAAAGATTGTGGCCAATGATCATTGATCATGTGTTTGTTGAAGCATGCATGATAGACAATGAAATAGGTAGCAACAAATCAAAAATAGCATAACAACCTAACAAAGTCATTTGACATGATAGCATGATGAAATCACAAGAAATAAATCATATCAAGACAACTAATGCAGTCAGCTAACCATTCTTGGCCACAAACCAGTTCAGAAACACCATCCTGAGTGCAAAGTATTCTGCACCAGTGGGCCCACCCACCTGCAGAGTTTTCTCGAAGTAGGCGCTGCAGGAGGCCAGCACCACACGGTGCAGCTGAAACACCTCACCGTCACAAGCCACCATTACATCACTGAACAGGTGACTGCTGAGGGCGCGCAGCAGGTACCGGTCCCAGTTCTGACGGTACTTGTTCCATTTTAGAGAGAATTGCTGTGTAGAACCCATTGCTCTGGTCTGTATTGGTTTCAGCGCCCTGCAGATCAGAATCAGAATGGGCAGGGCAGGGATGAGTGGAGTGTGGCATTTATCATCACTTGATGGTAAATGTATTTATTTTAGCAATTAGCTCAAAGATATGATTCAACTCATCAGTTCTGAATCAGAACTTCACTTAGAGCACACTATGACATTTTAAATACGCCTGCGCCCAGTTCATAGGTACTTTTTCGATAGAATTCTGACTTCTGATCCTTAAGTTGAGTGTATCACAAGTAGATGATGAGCATGGTCCCATATATCACTGTGAAAACGTTTCCAACTAAATTGGTGTTAAATATCATCTTGGTTCATTGAACATGGTAATTTTGATTCATCTTTCCCATTCCCGGCCATTCTCATGATACAGCTTAATCCGTGGCGGCACTCAGCATCTATGTAACAATATGCTGAAAATCATAATTTACCCGTGTCGATCGAAGTCACAAAATCAACAAACAGGATCCCCGATAGTGTAAAAATGGAAACCTCGGTGTATAGGGCCTTTGAAATTGCCAGAAAACGAAAAAAACGAGCCATAACATACCGCGCCACATTCGTAACCAACGAATCCTCCAAGGCCGTTAATATTTTCTAACCTTTAGAAACCAATGTAAATTTTAAATGACGTCATCAAACTGCCACAAAAAGTAGTCACTATTTTGTAGTATTTTAGTTATTTTTTTTTTTGTATTTTGAAAAAGCTTTCGGTCCGAATATGTACAATTCGAGTCTAATTACACATGTTTAAGAAATGTTTGTGTCGCTGCTCCCGTCAAACTCTTGATATAACATGACGTAATCATAAAAGTTTTGGAAACACTTATTCGCATCCTCATTTGTTGCCATTGGTTTGTTTGTTGTGGTTTGTTTTGGAGGGGGTGTCTCGGAAGCGGAGGTTTGAAAGTATAAGTGGGTGTCGTTTTTTTCTTAAAAGTATAAGTGGTTTGTCTCCGAGTAAAGTTTATTATTTATTAGGCGTTTTAGACAGAGAAAAAGGCAAAAACTGAACTCGAGAAAATCGAACATTGTCTAATATTAGCAAGTGAATTATTCCTGATTAATTGCACCCTGGTGCCTTAGACTTTAATATTAGAACACTGAACAGTAGGGTGTGTCGTAATTAAACTTTTTATTTCAAATCATGGTGCTCCTATGATTTTCTTTTGCTCCTGCACGGTAGAAGGCCAGCTGTATAAGAAAAAGATCCTAGAAATAAAAACCCATACTGCCGCATCATGTCAAAGTTTCGATGAAAATCAGTTTCTGGCGTTGAAGTCTCCACATACAACCCGATTTGTATTCCATTTTCCTGATATAAATGCCTTCGCTGACCAGTTTGGTGCCTAAAGGAGCATTCTATGAACCACCCTAGGGGGTTTGTGGCGAATATTTGGAACACTTTTGGTGAGAAAATGTCCAAAATCAACATGGTTCTAAACGCATGCATCTGGTAGTAGGAAGCTAACACCACAAAAGAGACATATTGAGCTTTAACACCTGTAATGTTGAGGCAATGTGGTGGCGGATCCAATAGAAGTCTTAAGGTTAAGGCACATGCTTGCTAAAACTTTTAAACATGATTCCCCCCCCCCCCAACACCACCACCGCCAAAAACATGCAGGCTTAGGAAGGTATTGTTTCCAACCGACCTGCCCGACTAACAACGTCCGTCAAGTGACTACCATTGACCGCCATTCCCGTTCATAAACGTTAGCTGCCGGTCATCATCCATCGCCAGTCCGTGGATCCGGCTTTGCAAATTACTGGAATGTGCCCCCCCGGCCCCCACACACACACACACATCACGGTTAGATCCGCTTCTGAGGTAACGTGTTGGACGGTACTCGTCACGCGGTGCATGGCGCTTAAACTAGTCCTTGTGCTTTGCATCAGATTATGGGTGAGTGTGCCCTGATTTAACCAATGTATTTTCAGCCAGTCAAAATCGTCCCACACCCATGCGATCATCTGATGTTTCGGATAATTGGATTATTTATTCAATAAACGCCTCACGCATACGACATATTTCAGGGACAGCATTTGCGAGTTAAGCGATTGCTTCAGAATGTACTGGTGACCGACTGACAGCTCTCAGCACGTTGATACTTTTCGTCCATACCTGTTAGGCGGCTACAGCTGATATACAGCCGTGCCTCTGCTTCTCAGTGGCAACCGACTCAGCTAACCCCATCACGACCTTTACGGCCCCTTCATTCACGGCCCGCTCCTCTGCTACCGCATGAATGAGCCCATCATCCGCGGCTCGTTTCGGTTGTCTTCATTTTCAGATTCGCTGTGATCTGTGTGTTTGGAAATGACTCGATGATCAGTCAGGTGCTCTTTTCCAGCAAGTCCGACAGCTCACTCAGTCAAAGCGAACCACACACTTGTCAGCTCATATCGCGCTCTTCTGGGCCGTGCAAAAGAAAGCTACGCTGTCAGTAACGCTGGAAGCGCACACCTGTGAGTTCTGTGGGCCAGAACTCACGAAGACTCACAGGGACTCACTGTTCTCACTCACACAGGGACTCACTGTTGCATCATCTACACCTACAGGCTGCGCAGAACGTTTCCGACGCCGTGGACGACGACGCTGCTTTTGGTGGTCGTTCACGATTGCCCGATGCGGTTCCGCATACAGAGCGAAAGTTAAGACAGTTGACGAGCTACGGCATGCTAAATATAAGGCTACCGACTCTGAATTCAATTGCCGTACCTACCTGTCGGTCGCTACTGATCAAGGAAGCTACACACACGGTGTTGCTACAGAAACTGTTTAAAGTGTTAGAAACTTCCTGTCTTGCCGGGAGGTGCAGTCCGGACTCTGGCGAAGAACCTACGCACAAAAGCTCCTACTGTTAATAGCACAGCGTAACTTCTTACTGGGTTCATCTTGCTATGGTGCTGTTCTGCTCGCAATCCCCGCACAGGTTTGCATTTCGGCCGTTCAGGTGTCACCGCTAGACGCTAGGGCAGAAGCCGCACGGTCTCAGAAGTACGGAATATAAGGAAGCGAGTTGCATGGTTGCCTCGGCCTGCTGCACGTCTGCTGCTGCTGTACCAACGCTTGCTCACCTGGGCTGATAGTAACCACTGCCGCAGCCTCCTTTGTCTTGTGCATGCCCTCGCCCATCCATCTCCTACCGTTGGCTTTACGAACCCGGATTGCCTGCGCCTTGCCTGCGCCTGTGGATTGCTGTTTCGTGTGGAACTGTTTTGGAGTGCTTTTGCCTTTAGGAGTTTGTGTGACTTTCTTGCACGTATATTGATAAGTTTGTGTTGGCTGCTTATTGTGCATTGGTGGTATGGTATCTCGACAGAAAGGAAGGGGACGTGGGAAGGGGGCACCTGCAAATAATGATCCATCTGACTCCATTGGTGTCCAGGCCGCTCAAGGTGCGGCCTCTTCAGCACAACAGAGGGCAGTCCCCGACGATACCAAGTGCGGAATGTGTAGCCTTGTGGTGGGTGATGAGGGGATTGGTTGTGACAGATGCTCAAATTGGTTCCACCCATCAGAAATGTGCATGGGGCTTTCCCAAAATGCTATCCATGTTATTGTGGAGAGTGAAGACAGTGATGCACTACTTTACCTGTGCACTGGTTGCCGTCTTAAGCCCGGATCAGGAACTTGGACGAGGTCAAGGCAGCGTCAGCCCAACACTGATGATGATGGACAAAATCAACTGATTATGCAACTTTTTCAAACAGTGAAAGGGCTTTGCTCTGAGGTAGCTAGTCTGGGGCAAAAGATTGGTACTTTCTTGACTCAGGGGCAGGCAAATTGCAGCAGCCAGGGTTCCGGTTCAGTGGGTACTGCAGTAGTTCCCAGCGCAACAGATCAGGCTCAGAATCCAACTCCTGTTAACCAGTCCACCCCAGCCCAGACTTCCCCAAAGGGAACTGACACTGAGTATAGAGCTCTAGTGAGACAGGAAGTCAGAGAGATCCAGGAACGGGAGAAGCGACGGTATTCTTTGGTCATTCGGGGTCTGACTGCTACTACCCCATCCGGAGTTGTGTCAGAATTTGGTGATATCACATCTTGTGTGCTCGGAACGAGGGTCACTCTTAGTGAGGTGATAAGAATCCCCAACAATCCTGGCCTCTGGCGTGCCAAGGTTATGGACACTGAAAACAGGAAATTGGTTCTAGACAGGGCAAAGCAGCTCAAGGGCTCCCGTTACGACCACATATTTATCCGAAAAGATCTCACATACATTCAAAGAATGGAACTGAAACAGAGGAGAGAGACCCTTGCCCAGTCATCGGCGGGGGCACGAGGCGGCCAGATTCAACCTGGTTCAGCTCGTGGTTCAGCCCAAGACCAGAGCCTGAGTGGTGAGGGGGCTGCTGTGGGGGCTGCTCCTGCAGCGGCGGCGGGGGCTGTTCCGGCAGCGGTGGTGGGGGCTGCTTCTGCCGCAGCTCCTTCAGTCGACTCCAATCAAACACAGCCTGAGACTGGAGGAGGATCAAATCCTCCTGCTTCCAACTCTGTGACCCCCAGAGATGAGGTCGATCGATCTGATGGTTCAGAGTCAAACTAGCATGCTCTACAAACAAGACATATCACTTTGTCATGAAATGCTGTTTAGTCAATATGAAAGGGCTGTATTCCAAAATGAATTCCTTGGGTAACTTTGTTCATGTTAATGATCTTAAAGTGCTGTGCATAACCGAATCCCACTTGACAGCATCCATCCTCAGTTCAGCTATAGCTATTCCTCACTTCAACCTGCTAAGGAACAAGGGCGGATCTAGGGGAACGTTTTGGGGGGGGTCACCAGTCGGCCGACATGCCAGGTCTGATGAATGAATTCTGACGACCGGGGGGGGGGGGGGGGGTAGGGAGCGAGTATGTCGAGATCCAATGACATTTGATCTTCGTCGTTTCTGAGTTGAAGTTTTATCGTAAGTCACTCGGCTCAGTAGTTTTAGTTAGTGAAACCCACCTATAGAGGAGCGTCGCCACGGATTTTTTTACTGGGGGGGGGGGGGGGGGCGGATCGACCGACTTAAAAACCCAGAAGTAGTAGATATAGTTACCTCACTTATGCATTAGTCTAATGCCCAATGCATTAGTAGCATACAGTCACGATCTCTCTTATTGACCTGTGTATGAATCGGCGGCGCGAAGCGCCGCAAAAATTTGAAAAAAGTTGTCAAAACACAGCTCTAAAACACAAATATTACAACCCTTTTAGCATGCTAGTACAAGCCGGAGTTCCTTCACAGTGCACATATGAATTCCGATTCAATTTGACACGGTTGGTGTTATTACAGTCACGATCTCTCTTATTGATTGGTGTATAAATCGGCGGCGCGAAGCGCCGAGAACATTTGCAAAAGAA